TAGTTTAAAAACGTATTTGGAATAGGGTTAACTTAATGTTTAAGTTCCCTGTTTGATAAATAGAAAACATACGAACCTTCTCATTTCATGGGAACGACCTGAGACTGCAATCACGGCTTCAATTTTTGAATTGCAGAATAATTAGATGCACTATCTAGTGTATATAAGATATCTATGATCCAGAAGCATGGAAGCAGGCGGAGGTTATTCCAATCCTGAATGAAGGTGATCACGAACAAGCACCAAATAACCGACTTTTATCACTTCTACCAATATTATCTAAAATATTAGTTCTCTAGCTACCTTCACCAGTACAACTTACTCTCTCCTCGCCAAAGCGGCAATAAGAGACACCATTCAACTGAAACGCTTAATGTTTACATAACGAATAACATTCTTAAATCAATGGATGAGAAGAAAGTAACTGCCATGGTCCTAATTGATTTATCCAAGGCATTTGACTATCAGTCACGAAATGTTATTAAGAAAGTTGGAGGCTACTGGCGTATTTAACTGCCTACAGTGGTTTAAAAGTTTCCTGACAATTCGTAATAAGTACGTGAAAATTTGCTCAAGCAAGTCTGCTCCTCTAAACATTACATATGGGGTCCCACAAGGATCGACCTTATCCCCATTATTGTTTTGCATCTGCACAAACGACCTCCCATCCATAACAACAGAATTTTCGCTGGATTCATACGTCGATGACAGTAAAATTTCATTATCTTTTTCGATCGAAGATAAATCGAAAGCAAAAAGGGTCTTGGAAGAAGATTTAAACAATGTAGCCAGATGGTGTTGTGCAAACTCGCTTCTTCTAAACACGGCCAAGACAAAATCCTTATTACTAGGTACATCGCAGCTGCTAAGCATATTCTCTGAGGGCATTACGCTCAATTTCCTGGGTAAAAGATTACACCCAATTCTAAAGATTTAGGAGTTGTACTAGACTCACATTTGAAGTATGATACCCATATTAGTAAACTTAGTGTTTATCGAAACTCTGCCAGATTAACAGAATACGTCATCTTCTAGACCGCGAAATCCTTTCCTGGGTAAAAGATTACACCCAATTCTAAAGATTTAGGAGTTGTACTAGACTCACTTTAGGATAACGTCTATTTGTATGAACAAATACACAACTTATGGCTAATTTGAATTTGAAAGGGTGTAATTTTTTATTGGTATAAGCTAAGCTATTACAAAAGAGATGCCTCACCTAGTTACGGCAACCATGCATATCAAATTTCTTAACAACATGAATATATAATCATGTTTCGCTCGCTACTCTGGTTTAAATAAATGATTACAAAGCCCAGTCGAATTCTAATCAAGACCCAACGTTTCGACACTCCAGTCTAGTGTCTTCATCAGGGGTGATCTAAAAATGTGATCGTGGCTTCTTAAATACCCAAGGGATGACGTCACCTGCCAAGAAGATGCATATATTCCTCTGGCAAATAGGCGCCGTCATCCCTATTCAAAGCATGATGACTCGTATTTATATGCCACGCTTCTAGGCAAAGTCTTTGAATGTATAGCATGAGTCTTCTGATTTTTTTTCAACAGGATCTTTTGGCCTTGCGAAAATATGGCCTAAAGTCAAATAGAGTTTTAAGGCAACCTTAATATTACAATTACTTAAGATTCTCTTGATTGGTTCTGTGACACCTTGAATGTATGGAACTATTGCAAAACCCTTAATGTATGGAACTATTGCAAAACCCTTAGCAATAGTTCCAACTTTGCCTAGAAGCGTGACATATAAATACGAGTCATCATGCTTTGAATAGGGATGACGCCCTATTTGCCAGAGGAATATATGCATATTCTTGGCAGGTGACGTCATCCCTTGGGTATTTAAGAAGCCACGATCGCAGTTTTAGATCACCCCTGATGAAGACACTAGACTGGAGTGTCGAAACGTTGGGTCTTGATTACAATTCGACTGGGCTTTGTAATCATTTATTTAAACCAGAGTAGCGAGCGAAACATGATTGATATACCTGGTTGCAGTGAACGAACAAACTTTATATTTAAAATAGTTTATGTAAATGTACAATAATTGCACTTGAAATTTATATCTACAAACCCTTTCAATAGGTGACAGGTCGGCCAGTTCCGGAAATCGTCGAGAGTTGTGTTCGATTTATCACCAAATTTGGTAAGTAAGATATGCTACATATGATAGTTAGCCATGAAAATTGGATTCAACAGTGCATAAAGTGGATGTACAATAATTTGAATAAGCTGAGATGTTGACCATTCCGATAGCATGAGATGACCATTCCGATAGCATGAATAAGCATGAGATGTTGACCATTCCGTGTTTTCAAAGCGATCTTTAATTTCCAAGGTATGGATCATCAAGGCATTTTCAGAGTTCCTGGGTCAAGTACGGAAATTAACGATATGAAAGAAGCTTTTGAAAACGGTAAATATATACAGTACACACTGTAGTATACATATAGCAAGTGTAATTTACCTGTTATATTGTAGTCAGTTACCTTGAAATATATTCTGACTTATACTTTGTCTGTTAGCCTTTAAAAACGTTTTTATGGTGTATTTTTTTTATGTAGGTCGTGATCCTTTGGCAGGCTTAAATCATTGGAAAGATATCAATGCAGTTGCCGGAGTATTACGATGTTATTTCCGAGAGTTGGAGGACCCTCTGTTTCCCAGAGCGTATTATCAAGAATTTATCGATGCTAGCAGTAAGTACTCGGGTCAATTTCCATGTTATCATGCAACCATAATTTCAATGGAGCGATTTCGTACTCTCACCTAAGAATAAACTTGTAATGTTTGAGTCAAAACAGTAGCATGTGAGGATAGTCTCTGTCAAGATATGATGGTCTGGAATCTCGGCAAACTTCAAAGCTACAAAATAGAAGAACTTTGTTTGATGTTGAACTGTACCTCGCCGTGCACAAATCCTTTGTCTCAACTTCATTAAATAGTATTCATCGTGGTTACACGTTTCATCTCAGCTATCCCTATTGGACGGTTACTTCATTATACGAAAGTACAATGAGCTCAGTTACTGAGACCGTGCACAAATTAACATAAACTCCGACATAACACAAATGACTTCTGTTTAGTTTTGAGACCATCATATCTTTGATAGACTATGATGTGACTGAGCCAAAATTATAATCAGACAACAACATACTGGAGTGATTTAACCTCGGTCGGTATCAACTGACTCGCACTTCTTTTTATCCTTAGGAATTTACGATTCTGACGAGCAAGCACGAGCGCTCAATCACGTGATTAAGAAGCTCCCGGATGCTGTCGTTGTTGTAATGAAGTACTTGTTCAAGTTTTTATTCGCGTAAGTTTGTACTTGTATTTTTACATTTTATGCTACGAGCAGGCTTTTAGCCAGAAGGGCGTCCTGGGACGCCCCTAGAACGAAAAATGGACGCCTTTGGACGCCCAAATTCTGGGGCGAATGGTAAATTATTTTCAACAATTTCCCTAAGTAAATTACTATATCAGAAACGAAATAGCTTCAATTCTCAGTATTATTATAGTTTGACGTCTTTTTTGATGGTGTACCTGGCTGAATGAAAATGTCGTAGTTTAATTAAATAAAGAAACATAGCGGCACAAACTCACAAAGCCAAGTGTGTTTGAAAAATTTCGAACGAGCTTGGAACAGATGCTGACATGAAGTAACGTAAACTTCAAAGGTTTTCCAGAGGAACGTTTTCTCGAACACCCCCCCCCCCC